ACATCCGCGCGCGCATTGGTTTTCCCCTGTTCTAAAAAAAATATAAAAAATCCGAAGCTGAAGCCTGGATGCCTAAATAGAGCCGGCGGTAACTTCGTAGGATGGTACCCAGCCTACCGTGGCGTCACAGAACTGTGGAACTCAGTACAGTACTGACTCAAAAATGCTGGAAAAAGCCAGAATGTACCGGCTTGTAAAAAATAGCCATGTACAACCTAAATTCGCAATACCAACGTTTCATTTTTATGGTTTAGCAGCATGTTTTTTTTTAGCTGGACTTTTTTTTATTCGCCCGCTCGAATTAGTCCTGGGGTCTTCGGACGATGTCATCCATGAAATTAAGGCAGTGCGGCCTTGATATACCTTTAAGAGTTGCCAGCCCTCCTAAATCTACTTACTAGTATATTGTTAAGCAGTGCCGTTACAGTTCAGCGTTCCCCCACAACACCCCAACACACAAACACCAGAATGAAGACCCTTATGTTTGTCTTTTGAGTAAAAGAAGGATTTACAAATGTTACTGCAAAGTTGTCCGTCAAAAAATTTAAATGAACAATGAAACAGATAGTTTGTGTTAAAATCTGTTCAAATGATTAAATTTGGTAGCTAAATTCGACTTAAAATCTTTTTCGTCTGACTTATATTTATTGAAGAAATCGCTTAATGGTCTAGTATATTTACGTAACGTGTCCTTTAGATTGATGCATATTCATTTTCTCAAACATGTTTTACTCATTTAATAAAATAGTCACTACTTTAATATGCTTTGTTTAAGTAAACCCTACGCATAATCAAAGTATCTTTCTGATTCGCCAAAAAGCAGTTAACTCAAGCAACTGGATATGATTTTGAAAACGTCAGACGTTTCAGCTAGTATCCACTAGCTTTCGTCAGTGACTGAGAGACCAGAGGAGAAATGCAGGTTTATAAGCACAACCTATTGATTGATATGCAAATAACGTGAAGACAAATTTTTGGAAGTCGAAAAAGGAACAAAAGTCAGACAAGTCAAGACGAGATGATGCAAATTAGTCTGAAAGCTCCTGTTGTACAGAACAGGAGCTTAACCCTACCTAGACCGGGCTTTTTTTGACATGGGGGGACCGGGGGGGGCTCTTTTGACCCCCCTAAGAACTCGGGAACGGTATGTCGTATGACCACCAAATTTTCAGAGAATGGTGTACTAGTACAAATTTATCATATCTACAATTTTTATGTCGTTGTGACGTAATATGACGTCATTATGACGTCATTAATGTGGTTTTATTGGCCAAAACCGTCTAAATAGGTTTTTCCCTGAAAACTAAATGGTATTCAACATAACTGTACCAAAAGTGTTTATGACAGAATATTATGGTGTACTAAGTCTTATGTTGCCCATAGCAACACCGGTGACGTCATAAAATGACGTCATGCATATTTAAGATATCCGCCATCCGCCATCCGCCATCTTGGATCATCAATCTTGAATTTTCATGATAAAGCCTAAAATACATTGTAAACATACTAAAGACCTTCATCTAAACCTTTTTTTGGAAAAAGAAATGGAAGTATTGATGAAATTTTAATGAAAATAAACTGTATCTACCTGGTCTAATGATATAGTCCGCCATCTTGGATTTTGGCAAATGACGCCATCAAATTAGCATAAATTATGCATATTTAATGATAAAATTTACATAAAATTATATGGGATGTTATTGATATTAGTAACCATGAGTAACTTGACATAAAACCCATAAAATTCTATTGTTGAAACAAAAAGTACTAAATTTAGCAAAAAATGCCTGTCAGAAACCCGTTGCCATGGCAACACAAAAAATTATTATCTTATTCCAATGATAGAGAATTGTTGCCAACAATATTCTAGGAAAAGTCACCAAGTTTGGCCGTTCTACGGCTAGCCATTCAGACGCTAGGTGACATCAAAGTTGCCGCGGGCACTTTTAGCCCCCCCCCCCCGGTCTACGGTACGGGTTAAGT